TCAAGCACATTATAATGTTGTAAAACAAATATTTTGATATATTCAAGCCACTTTGGATTTTAAACTTGTTTATGGTGGCACAAATTTATCAAATTTGCTTATTGTATTTACTGATGCTGACTATGTGGTTGATTTGGATGATCAAAAATCACACAGTGGATATATTTTATTTTTAAATGGTGGATCAATTAGTTGGAGATTGAAGAAACTAGAATGTTTAGTTGACAACACAACCTATTCCAAATATATTGCCTCTTACATGGCAGCAAAAGAAATTATTTGATGTTGATAAATGTTAATACATCTTGACTATACTCAAGAAAAACCTACTATTTTATACTTTGATTCACAAAGTACAATAAAATTGGCAGTTAATCCTGAGTTTCATTCCCGCACTAAACATATTGATATTAAATATCACATGATTCAAAAGCAAGTTAAAAATGGAGTTCCACAAATAGATTATATATCTATTAACAAAAATGTAACTGATATTTTTACAAAAGCTCTAGCTCCTGATAGATATTGCGTGCTTTTTTGACTCTATACTCAAGCTAATGCTTTTCTCCATTGAAGTGGGAGAATTAAGACATGTTGTAATATCAATGGAGAAGTTATTATTTAGTGAGAGTTTAGTAACTAGTGTGTTACTAGTAAGAAATAAAAACTTCTCATTGATATGTAAGATTTGACTTGTAATAAAGTGTTGTTGTTTTTCCTGATATTCTTAGTGTAGTATTCTGTGAATCCAATATGAGCCTCCTGGTGCCACATGAAGGATGAGAGTCCTCCAGATTGATTTATGATACAGGGTTGTTGAAATTTAGTTCGCTTGTCATTTACTTCAACACTATGTTAAACTACAATTCCCCTCATGTTCTTGTTGGTGATTCTCAGGTTCTCTGGGGTGGACCCACTTTCTATTGGAGGAAAGTCGGATGCGTGTTCATGTTTGGAAAGACGAAGTGCTGCAATTCTTCGTGGTCTTCAGTCTGACTCTCAGAGTCAGTCACGCTGGTCTGCTGGAATGGATCGTTTCGCTGATGAAAGTGTCAACATCGCGATGCTCTTAAAGGGCACACGCTGTGCATGAAATAGTAGGGCCGATATGAGCTTCACAACGAAAGTCGCCACCCAACCACACCGTCTATCACTTCTCTGGCAATCTCTCCAATCGTTGTACTCAAGTTACGAAAATAAACTAGTTCGTGGCGAAGTAAGAGAGTGGGATGTTCCGCATATCCCAACTGGTAGCATAACTGAATCGGTGCGTAGAACAACCTCTCTTGTTGCAGAATTAGCAAACAGACAAAGTCGAAATACGTTTGGCAGCACAGATTGAGAACTAGAGTGAAGAAATCGACCGAGGTCGTCCAATGGCTTCTGCTGGGGAGGTTACGAGGGCCGCGCTTCCCAGGGGCCAGCCCTGCGCTGAAGGGCCAGCCTGCGTGCTAGGCATCGGGACTGCGGTGCCTCTCGCGGAGTTTTTGCAGAGTGAGTACCCCGATTTCTTCTTCAACATCACCAACTGCGGCGAGAAGGAAGCCCTCAAGGCCAAATTCAAGTGCATCTGTGACAAGTCGGGCATCAAGAAGCGCCATATGTTCCTCACGGAGGAGGTGCTCAAGGCCAACCCAGGCATCTGCACGTACATGGAGCCCTCCCTGAACGTCCGCCACGACGTCGTGGTTGTCCTGGTCCCCAAGCTCGCCGCCGAGGCCGCCCTAAAGGCCATCAAGGAATGATGCAGCTGCAAGTCCAACATTACCCACATCGTCTTCGCCACCACCTCGGGCGTCAACATGCCTGGAGCCGACCACGCCCTGGCCAAGCTGCTCGGCCTGAAGCCCACTGTGAAGCGTATCATGATGTGCCAAACCGGGTATTTTGGCGGTGCATCCGTGCTCAAAGTGGCCAAGGATCTAGCCGAAAACATCAAAGGCGCCAGAGTACGAGCAGTAGCGAGCGAGGTGACCGCAGTCATATACAAAGCCTCGAGCAAGCACCACTTGGACGGGCTTGTGGGCTCAGCTCTGTTCGGCGATGGTGTCTGCGTGTACGTGGTTGGATCCGACCCCAAGCCTGAGGTAGAGAAGCTATTGTTCAAAAAGCACTGGGCTGGAGTGACCATCTTACCAGAGAGTGACGGAGCTATCGATGGACATCTCCCCGAAGCAGGGTTCATCTTCCACCTCATGAAGGATGTACCTGGGCTCATCTTCAAGAACATCAAGAAGTTTTTGAACGAGGCCAGGAAGCCAGTGGGATCACCGGCATGGAACGAGATGTTCTGGGCGGTGCATCCCGAAGGTCCAGCCATTCTCAATCAGGTGGAGGCGAAGCTGAAGCTGACAAAGGACAAGATGCAAGGAAGCAAGGACATATTGTCCGAGTTTGGCAACAGGTCTAGCGCCTCTGTGTTGTTTGTGTTGGATCAGATTCGGCACAAGTTTGTGAAGATGGGTGCGTCCACTTTGGGCGAAGACAGCGAGTTCGGATTCTTTATTGGCTTCGGACCAGGACTGACACTGGAAGTGCTTGTGCTCCGCGCCGCTCCCAACTCCGCTTAGATTCCACCCCACCTCTCCTTTTTACTCCCCATTCTCACCAATTTGTATCATATCATATTATTGCATAGCATAGCATCGAAGTGTGCAATTCAATTTCAATGTATTCCTGAGCTAGAGTTCGCGCTTAATTTTAAAAGAGAAATCAGGTTATCGAATCAACCTACATTCTTACTTCAGCAAGCTCTTTATACACTCAAAAATCTAGGGTTCCATTGTTTCGTATCCAGAACCTAAACGATCTGGCGCCTGTGGGTATATTTCTCTCGCTATGCTAAATTGGCAGTGCATCTACTCTAACGTTCTTATTGTTCCCTCAATTCATTTCTGGAAGACATGAGTTTGGCAATGTATAGTCACAATGCAATCAGAGGTGCAAAGTACAGTTTTATATTGGGGGTTTTTCTTAAGGATTTGACTGTAAATGGACCACTGACATTGGTGTGAAATAATTCTAAAATTTTGGTGGTTTCTATGGTGCGTTGTTTAGTATTTTTGGCTTGGCTTTTTAGCCCTTGATGCAAGTTTTACATGGTAATATGCCAATTGTGATGGATAGGAGGCCAGTGACTACGGCCGGTAATAAAAGGGACATAATCTCTTGTACCAAAGTAAGGTTTTTCTAATATGATTAGAAGTGGTTATGATGTTTACTTCACAGGAGCCTAGCTCTGTGTAGTTTGTGATAGTATTTCCATGGAATCTATACAAACCATTGTTTGCATCTCTTTCGGCTATGGCTATTGACTTTCCAACAGTGTTGCAAATCGTGCACTCATGAATTCTAAGCACAAGTTTTTCTCTGCTAAGTAATCCACTGAGAGGAGATTTTTGTGGGTACCAGGTTATTCAATAACATGATCAACCCTTTAAATTGCACCTTAGGGAAGGCGCATAGCAACCGTTGTTTTGTCTGCAACGTCGTTCTTGGATCTTGGTTTCCATCCCATTGAGACGATCCATCATCCACTTTAAGTACAGAGGATCTGTAATGTTGGTATGAGCCTCAACCTTGGGAACGGCTTTGTGTCAATTCTCCCACGTTGGTTCCTAATGAACAAGAGTGGCCACGGCCTTTGTTGTGACCTCGTCCGTAAGTTTATCCTCTGGAAAACTGGTTCCCAGCTATTAATCCTCCCAAGTGCTGGTTCCCATAATTGGGTCCTCCCAAGTACAAGTTTCAATGCCCACACACACAGTTGCGATGATACGAGTTTTGCTGGTAGCCAGATTGACCACCTTGGTTTTCTGCGCCACCACGATTATAGGGACGCCTGTTGTTGTTTTGGTCACGGTAAGTGAAAAAGCGCTTCGCTCTTCTTTTCTCCACTCTTCCAAACTGAGTGGGCCATCTCCTCACTCAAGAGCAGCATCTCTAGTTCGGAACAGGTGGATAGCTTGTCACCCAATATCATCTGCTTCAAGACTTCGTATTCATTTGGTAAATTTTTCAAAGTGTACCAGACTACAACATTTTTGGGGAGAGGAACATTCACTTCTTCTATCGAATCTGATACCTCTTTCATCTCTATCAAATACTTGTCCATGCTCATGGCGCTAGTTTTTTTCATGGAAAAAAACTTGACCATAAGAGAAACTTTGCGAGGGTTATTGTCAGCCTCATACCTTGATGCTGCCAACAGTCGTATGGGTCTGTGAATCTCTTCATGAGCCGAAATGCTGTGCCTTCTGCATTTGCTTTGAGAGCACTCAAAGCATGTTGTTGCCCTTTGATCTCCTCCATGGACATATGATCTCGGGCAACATGGTGACTTTGCTGTGTAGTGTGTGGTATTGGAGGCTGCATTCTGCGTCGAGGTGTGTTATGCGGAACGATTATTCTGCCCGATTGTCTGCTGGTCATAGCCTGCGAGGTCAGCGCTACCTCTGCCTCTACCAGCCTGCCTAGTGTTACTAGAGAACTCTGACTCGTCCACAACACGTCACAAGCTAAGTGCTGGGCAATGTGCTAAGCAAAGTGTTGGAGAGACTTACGGTCCTTGAAAGGATTGCTCTGATATCATGAAGAACGCTGCAGGGTGATAATGGAATGAGGGAACAATAATGTTCAATTGATAAGCTCATTTACACTGATTTAAGTATTGAGCCCACCTACTAATCCGGGAGTGTGCTCATACGAATGTACCGGATGGGTGAGGGCTAAATGATACAGTAGCTGTCTACAATTTCAAGTTACACGTGGTCTATTTGATTTCTTATTGTTCAACCGATTCAAAATGAGTAAGTGGCTTGTTTTCAAGCCACAGCGTTGGCTTCTTGAAATAGGATTGGAATGGAAAAAACTACACTCGTATGTTGAAAGACAATACCAAAACTAGTATCAACACAGAATACGTGCATATGGAAGTAGCTTGTATTGAAACATCTAAGTAATTCGTACCATAAATACGACAGCAATCAAGAACACATCTATCTCGTGTGACTAGCATCCTGGAAACCTTCGTTACGTGGAAACCATGTTACAACAAGCTTGAGCCTTCCTTAGAGAAGGGGCCTCAATGTCCTTGAACTCAATGGCTATCAAGCTACTGCCAAAGCTCTCGACAGGATAGGGCCCTACAATACAAGTACACTCACACCTGGTACGCGAAATGCAGTCCGCGAAACCGGTGAAAAGAATAACGCCCACAAAAAGGATGCGTCTTTAGAGTGGAGCACCTCTAAAAGGGTGGACGAGGATTGTTTAACGAGCAGGACTCGTTAATATCGTCTCTTCAATACATGCCTCCCAGTCATTGTGATTGGAAAGACTATACCAATCAGCGATACTGCCATAAATACTCAGCAAACTTAGGGACACATAGGACAATTCTCCGACAGTTCTCCACAACAACGCTTCTCAGACATGTCTTATTGTGATCAATTCCAGCAATTGAAGTTAGGGCACCCCATGGACCGTAGACGCAGCAATCAGTAGTAGCCTTACAGGCGCCGATTGGACTCTTTGAAGAATGGGTGCTTAAGCGCCTCTTTAGCCGTAAGCCGTTCCGATGGTTCAAATTTCAGCAAGCCTTGAAGCAGATCGATAAGAAGTCCCCCGGAGTGGTCCACATGATGCATAATCAAATTCTGCCACACAATCGAGCGATTCACAGTCTGTCAAACAATAGAACAGCAGTATAGAACACACCTGTGTATTCTTACACGTGAATACAAGAACAATAAACGATGTAAAATGGTCAAGGAGGAGAACAAACCCGTAGTCTGGGTAATCTTCTCACGGCTCGAATACTTTCCCTTGACACTGCCCCTTCAGGCCAGTTTAATTCCCTCCCATGTCTGAAGTATTTTTCTGTTCGACGACTGTGTAGGATACAGGTGATCATAGGAAGTCAGGAAAGTTCAAAAAAAAAAAATTGAAGATGATTAATACTCATAGGCTCAGATATGGTGATTTAATGCAAGTCATTTACAAGACCGCAGTCGATAGAGCCAATAAATAATACGAGGATCATGGTACGCACTCTGCCCTCTTTATCATGTGCACAGGGATGGGACCCAAAACTCGCTCCATCATAGCCAAATGCTCTAGATTCTCGTGAGTTTGAAACAATGCATCACCCTGCCACCCGCAAACAAGCACAATTACTAATAGATACATACCATAATCTCAAAATATCCACGAGTATCAAAATCTGAATAACATGGCAACAGTACACTAATAATAAAAGTTGAAATAAACAGGACATATATATATATATATATATATATTGTAAATGGAATTACAGGTAAGATCAAGGCAGGGATGAAGCCACATACCGAACACAACTCTACGAGTATGCATCCTATGCTCCATATGTCGCAAGGATACGTCCAGCCAAGACCTAGAACAAAAGCATTTCTGTGGTTATCCATTCTCACACAGCTTTCCGCGAAACTTGATGCGGAACGTTTAGCAAGATTAACCACCTTCATTGACACCTAATATCAGCTCGTAAAGAGCATGAAAGTTGATGAAAATCTAACCTAAAATAACTTCTGGTGCCCGATAGTGGCGAGTGGAAACAACTGAACAGTGGTAGTGGCTGTCAAAGGTCGCGCTACCAAAGTCAATAAGCTTAATTTCGCTTGTTTTCGGCACCCGCTTGAAATGTTTTCCTGGATTTGATGCCTGCACATTTCACCGACATTAATAGATGCATGCAGATCAGAGCAGCCCCCACCAAAAAAACCCCAAAAATTCAGAAATCAAGCAAACACATCAGTGTGCAAATAGGAAACACAAATTCAAAGAAATAATCAAAAATCATGCAGCAAAATCACCACCGTAGTACATGGGAAAACTAGTGCACCTTTGCAAACAATTGCTAAACCAGCGAATTCATAGCATCATTTCAAAAGAGAAAAACCCGCTGTACTGACATCAACATTATCTAGCAATTCATCGCTACCAGTATCTATAGATTTGAGTTATTTTCAGAACTGCTCGAAAGATGACATGTTGAACAGGATAGAAGCATAAACTAGGAGATTCATTGCCGGAAACTACACATATTCCTCTACGACACTTTCCAATACCTTGTAATCTGACACTCTCACGTACTCAGAGGAGACCAATAGAATATTTTCAGGTTTAAGATCGGTGTGGATCAGGGTTAGCTCATGCATGTCTGCGACAAACAACAGCATAGTCGTGATTATAACATCAAACACCAGAAAATTCATTTGTTGCTGATTCGTTAACAGAAAAAGTCTAAACAAGGTGATGAGTCCAGAAGTTAAGTACAATCAAATGGCACTAACGTGGTACTGCAGGATCCATTCACATACCACAAAACAGATCATATTTCTGATGAATCAGATAAGAAATACACATCCATACACTGAGGAAAATCATATATTATTTGCAAATATATACATACAAAATATGACTTACAAGCTACAGACTCCAAGAGTTGGCGGCCAAAATCTCGAACAAGATCTGCAGAAAACGGTCGATAATTGTTTTTTCGAAGAAAATCGTACAAACTTGGCCCCAGCCTCTCGCACACCTGCATAATTACCAATAGTAAACAAAAGAAGTACGCGCCTTAATTCAGGGAGTAATTTCAAACGTTGTATCCAAGAACTCAATGTGCGAATCCCTGGATATCAACGAGGAAAGTCGAACAACAAGTGCAACAATCAGAAACCTCTTACTCCCTATTACAAACAGGGAACCTCAATGTTCGACATGAACGTCATGAACCGCAATATCAAACCTCGAAAGGGGGCGGTTGATTCCAAAAAAAGAATCAAACATTACTGAATCCACACAATACACGTCAGTGTGAGAGCAAAAACACAACTGGCATAAACTAGCATCAGCTAAAATGCCATACAAAGCGTCTTCACAACGAATTATTTCGTCCCTTTTTTCCGAATAACAAAACAGAGAAGGGAACTTACAATGCAGACATGATTTCGATAGTCAAACCAAGTCTTGAGCTGCACACATCGTCTGTTCATAACCAGGCTTTTGTCAAATGCACGTAAAACACTTCCACCTCGAATAAGTTGCAATTGCCCAAAAATTGAGTAAAAGCACGCAAGTCATTACTGAGGAGTTGAAATAAAAGATTATAAATTAAGGATTTAGTCAACGCACCAATCATCGTATTCAACAATCGTTCTAAGGGACATCTGTGACTCTCAAGTAAACGAGAAGTTCAGAAAACAAACGAACCGTATGCCCATCTTGTCATTCTTGGCAAGCGTGCGCAGCACATCGATTTCAATCATCGCAGCATCCCGGTACTTCTGAACGTTGCGAATGACCTTGATAGCCACATATTCCTGCATCTCCCTATCCCAGCACTCTAACACCCTACCAAAAGTCCCTGCAGAACCCAGCCAAAAACGTTACAGGCCAACATACTAAAACCCCACACAAACGCTTCAATATTAGCAAACTTCACCACGTTTGGTCAATTTTTATTCCAAATTCATGAAGGTTCATTTGTTCGACGATGATGTGAATAATCGAAGGAAGACCACCCACCTTCACCCATCTTGCTGATGATTTTGTCTGCGGTATCACAAAACCCCAACCAAACAGGCACCACGACACCACGTGATCAGGTATTAAAACCTCTGAAGCCAGCCTTCCTGGCAAAGGCGTCTAATGCCTCTCAATGTTATGCGCCTCCAATATCAACAGAAGGCAGGAGCAAGCGGAGAGTTATGCAGGCTAAACCGTGCGAACGGACACTATGACCAGGGTTTAAGGTATGATTACAGCGTGGTGTTATATTCTCTCCCAGCTCAAACATGTAGTGACCATCTTTATCATCCTCCCGCCACGCCGGGGAGGCAACCCTGGCATAACCATTGTAGAAATCTGGACTGTTCCCTATAGCAGCTGGTGGCACTCCCCTCCCTAGTCCCAGTTGCTCGTACTGCCCACTATTGACCGCTACCTGGTGGCTCTGCACACATGCACAAAGATTACCAGCCACAAATGCTTCCGTTGATCAAATTCAAGGCTCAACTGAACGCACCAACCAAACTGATAATCTCATGTAACTTCCATAATATACATACATCACCACATATTTCACCAAAACCGTTTGACTTGCATACGGGAAATTGTACATCTGCTCAGTGGAGATTGAAACGATCTTATGTTATCGAATCATTCTCCAGCGTAATTGCCATGCATCATAGAAGTATGGACAGAAAATGACCACGAAAAAAGAAAAAGAACGCACCCCATCATAAATCTCAGCCCGGGGGGCGTTGTCCTCGAGTAGCATTAAACGGGCGCGCTTTTCAGGCCTCTCATATATTGTACGGTCCATAATGCAATGAAACTGGCTCCCTCCCTCTTGCTGCCTAAGCTAGACCACTTCCTATTCGGCTTTCGGGAATTTATTGATGAAACCAACAGCGAACACTACAATGGCGAGGTGTATGTAGCTGCATATGATTCATACAGAACCACAAGGCTTCAAGCTTCATCTTCTATCCCAAAGACTCTCCAAGCGGATCTTGAATAGAACTCGTATGACTCGTGTTTCATCCCAAACTGAAGAATGTCCTGGTTACGCAAGACAGAGACACAAGACCCAATTATAAGCACAGGCTACGAACCAATCAAGACTACTATCACCACTGACGTACACAAGGGTACAAGGGGGCAGAGTTCTAAAACTGCAGGAAAAGCTTCACAAACGAGGATCTGTTTGCCCTAGAAACACACCACAAGTTCTCTAGGTCGTTAGGTCCTCGTTGACTCTAGATAAGAGAGGTATAAAACAGTGGAGCTCGAACCTAATAATAGGATCCTTCAAACTCTCTTGGCCAGCCGTAGGATTCATAGATGCTAGCACACTGCGGCTACAACCACGACTCCAGAAAGAACTTCCTCCGCAACAACCAAGGAGAATGAGAAGATTCGGAAGAACCTCCGACGGCAATACAGAATAGCCAGCTAAACCCTCGTCACAATGAATGAAACTCAGAAACAAACTCATTCCTTCCGAGTTCCTGATTCACCTGCATGCTTCACTGCGGCCGCTCACGAACATCTTTCGAACAAGCCCGCGCAACTGATTCCCAACTCTTCTAACTGCAACGGCCAAAATTCTAGTCCCATGTCACGAGCTAGTCAGCACCTGGTAGCACTACCACACTCCTCTCAACGGTCCCTCAAATCGGCACCTGAGATTATCCAAACAGATAACCTCTTCCAAAACTCTCCCCCTTCACCTCCAACTTAGGGTTTCTAATAAGACGTTCATACACGATAAAGCATTGTCTAATAAATTATTATTTTAATAAAAAAACTAAACAAAACAAAAGTCAACCCGCTGCGAGCTCACTGGTCCCACATCCTACTCATAATACAAAAACCTCCAACACTCGCCCTCAACCCGTGCACAAGGGCAGGAAAAAACCACAAGCATCTCACAACGACATCACACATACACACACACACACAAACACGCGCGAACGCTCCTAAACGACTAAACCCCACTCGGTTCTAGTTTCTGCGGCCTCCCAGACGCGACACTGCACCTCAAAAGAAGAGTGAACAACGGGCATCAACCTTGCGACCCGACACAGAGGGAGTCGTCGCCGGATTTGGTGCCAGAGATCGAATGTCCGCGAGAAGTCGCGAGCAAAAGCGACGAGGAGGAGGGCGATGGCGAGACGATACATGGAGCTGCTGAACGAGGAAGAGAGTTTAAGAAGAGCGGCCCCGCGACTGCGAAAAAGCTAATCAGCATGAAAAAAAAGACGGTGTGTCCGAGTCTACAATGTTCCCACTTCTGGATGAATGTCCCTCGTCTCCTCCGACGACCGATATACAGTATTTGTGTCAGAACTCACTCATGTGATGCCATTTTGGATGGTTTCATCCGTCCCTGTCCATTATCGCATTCGTTTGTGTGGATGGAGGTGTTCGTCTATTGTGTGGATGAACGTGGAGTTGATGGGTGGCCGTCATCGACGTCGCATGTGGTCAAAGTGGATGAATGATGTGCGTATTCATTCGCTCTGTTCTTCTTTCGATGACAATGCTCATCCAATGGAGTCTATGCCCTTTGGACTATTAACACAATCACCTTGAATAATACTTTAAAAATAAATAAATAAATAAATAAAAGAGCAAGCTGCATTAAGCCTTTCCAAAATTGGCGCTTTGTAATCATCAATTCTTCTTATATATATATATATATATATATATATATATATACACCACACTTTGAAACTATTCATAAAAGTTTTAACAACTCACAATACAAGTCCTATTTTAAATTAATTCTTGATTAGGATCCAAAAAAACTATTAAATTAATTTTTTTTATTTGACCATCAAAAAAATAATAATCCTCTAAAAAAATTGGAATTTAAAGTGGTTATAGATTTTAATTTTTAATAAGAAATTTATAACATTTTTAGAATACTAAAATAGTATTTTTTTTATAAAAGTCAAAGCCATTGTATTGTAAATAACTAGGATAAATATCTATTAGTTTTATAAATTTTATTATATAATATATATATATATATATATATATATATATATAATGTACATAAAATTACGAATTTAAAAATAGAGCTTGTCATGTTAGATTAATGAAGGATATACATTTGATAGTATGATGGTAACAATTCATAATTTTATTTGATTTTGATTTTGATTTTTTTTTCAATGTAAATATGCTTATGTAGATATTTGGTTAAGAAATTTTGCATGAATTTTATTTTGATAAAAATTATTCAAAGCTTTGAATATCAAAACTTGACAATCTTAAAGAGTAAGTTTTTAGATTTAAAAAAAGAAAGAAATAAATAAGTCATGTGGTTGAGTCCATGTTCAATATATGTCTCTTACTAATACCTTATGGGTATTGAGAATGTTTGAAGAAACATAAGAATACCTAGAAGTAATATATACATTTACACAAACTATAACAAGATATAGTTAAGATATTTGTATTATTGACACACAGGGATAAAACATTAGAATCATGTTTGAGAAGTTATGGAAGTTTCTAGAATTGGAGTTAGGTTGGTAGATCATGTAAGATCCACTATAGAACATTCTAAAAAGAGTTTAGGATATTTATCTAGGTGGAATCCACTATAGAACCTTCTAGAAGGAATTTAAGGTGGTTATCTAAATGGGGCCCATCATCTAGGAACATTCTAGAAAGTTTAGGATATTAGAATAAAGTATAAATAGGATTGACTAAGGCCTTTCGGAGCATCAAGTCAGATAATGCTTTCGACTCTTTCTTTAAATATAATTAGATTTTGGTATCTTTTTGTTTTTTTTATTTTATTCTAATTTTAATTACTTATTTTTATCTTTTGTGTTTCATTTTGTTTAGTTTTATTCTGGTTCAATTTGTCCTCCCTTGTGATGAGGTTTTTATATTGCTATAGATTGGAAGAGTTTTTAACACTTGAGTAAGGTTGATCTTGTTTCATTGATATTAGAGCAAGTGTTAGACTATTTTTTTGGTAGTATGTTGATAGTCATCATTTAGTCTAAGGTCAGCTGTTATGGTCATACAAAATATTATATTGAAGCTACCAAGATGTGAGAAGATACTACAATAGTGGAATCTAGCTGAGAAATTACAACATGAAAGATATGGTAGAATAATCCTAAATGGAAGCTCAAATACATGTCATGGCCATAATCATGTAAGCTAATAATTACATATACAAATAGGTAGAAGTAAGTAGAAGTAGGTAAAAGTAAGTTAATTCTATAATATTTAATATAAAAGCTTCTTAGAAGCTTTCTAGACGCTGCTTTGACTTCATAGGTGTCTTTAATTGACTTTTTGGATTAGAAACGTGGTTAACAAGTTGGCCATGTGCCACACATGTTGTTAGTTTGAAGATGAAGCTAACAATGTGGCCCACACGTAGAAAAACTTGCCTTGTAAGTCAAGGCATGTGTCTTACAAAGTCAACACATATTGGAGGTCCTATAGAACGTCGCCACGTAGCTCCTAGTAAGATAGTATATATAGAGACAAGAGTGAAGGCTTCTTCACTCTTGTCAACTCCTTTCTTGCTTCTAGTGTAGTTTCAAGGGTCTCTTTTGGCAATAGCCATTCCAGTTTCTCTTTCAATATATATACTTGTTTATATATATTTTGTTACCTCTCTTTGAGTAAAGGCTCACTTGTCTGAATTGTTTTTTCATCGAGTTCTTGTCCTTGAGAGATTGACAAGAGTACACCTATAATATCAGAGCTTTGTCTAATCTTGATTAAGAGTGGATTACCCCTTTTTCTTGATAAGATATAAGCATATTAGAAGTTGCGGATTACCCTCTTCTAAACTGATATTGTCTTTAGTATTTTCTTTGTTCGCAAGTCCTCTCTTCTATTTGTCTTCAGCGATATTAGACATCTTCTCTCTTCTAAGTGTTATCATGGCAGAACTTCTTGAAATGAAGAGTGCAATGGCACAAATGCAAGAGTAATTGAGGGAGTTAATGCTTGCGATGCATCAACTCAATTTACCACCACAAGGAGCAACAAGATTGGCAGGAAGTGAAGATATAGAAATGGTTGGAGCTGCTTCAACATCTGCACCAAACCATGTCCTTTTTCCTATGGTGGAATGTCCTTCAAATGTTAGAGAACAAGGAATTACCCTACTAGAGAAGTTTGATGGTACCAGATCCAAGTTTCAAGGATTTAGCAATCAAGTGCAACTTGTGATTGAACTTCAACCCCAAAGCTATCCAACTTCAGGATCACAAGTTAGATTCATTGGTACGCTTCTTTCAAGTTCGGCACTATCGTGGTTTTCATCTTTTCTTCAACGACAAGATCTAATATTGGATAATCTAGAGGCTTTTTTGGCGGAGTTTCGATCCATGTATGGAGAACATGATCCAATTCGTGTTGCAACCAATAAGATCTATATTTTACGACAAGACAATCGATCAGTAACGTTATATGCTTCACAATTTTGACAACTTGCAACTGATATCAAGTAGGATGATGCTGCACTTATTAGCCAATTTCTCTACGGATTACAATATGAGGTAAAAAAATTAATGCTCAACTTACCTGATCCTCAAACATTGAGTCAAGCAATTAACTTTGCTGTGAAGTGTGACAATCGCCTTTTTGAATTCCGATCTGAGAATCGTACAAGTGGACCTCAACGTTACTATAATTCAATGGCAACACCAACATCTCTTCAACACATACATTCGGAAGTAGAGGATACGCAAATTGATGCAATACGTTTCAAACCTCTTACTGAGCAAGAAAAGACTCGTCATCGTTAAGAAAGATTATGTTTATATTGTGGAGAACCAAAGCACACTGCTCAGCATTGTCCAAAGAAACGACGCAATCACAAAATGAGGAATATGGCTATGAAAGAAGATAATATGTCAGAAAATGAGTTTGTCCAACTACAATAGGGACCGTGCGGCTGGAACCTTACACAACTTCTAGTAAAGGTCATATTCTCTCCTCAGAGCCCTCTCCTTGTTTTACATTAAATGTTATTTTAGGACCTAAACATTACAAAGTCTCTGCCTTGTTAGATTCAGGAGCCTCAGCGTGTTTTTTAGATGAAGAATTTACTAAAAGACATAGCATATCTTTAGTAAAGAAAACTAAACTTGTTCATGTAGAAGTCATAGATGGTCGTCCATTGTCTTCTAGAGATATTACTCACGAAACCCTTCTTATAGAAGTAATAATCAATGGTCATAATAGTTTTGTAGTATTTAATATCATTAGATCTCCCTCTAATCCAATCATTTTAGGTTTATCGTGGTTAGAAAAATACAACCCTCAAATAGACTGGATTTTCCAAACTCTCACTTTCTCTGAAAGTATAACTAATAGTGTAGTTAAGCAAGTAGAGAGTCATAAGTTTAGTTCAATTAAACCCATATTTATATGTGTAAAAGCTTTCTTACATGCTGCTATGAAAGAAACACCATACATTATTTATGCTACACCCGTTTCTACTGGTGAAAAGACTTCAAGTGACATTCCAAGCCAATATCAAGAATTTCAAGATGTATTCGAAAAAAAGAATGCGGATACACTCCTAGCACATCATCCCTATGATTGCTCAATTGACCTTCAAGAAGGAGCACAACCGCCATTCGGACCAATCTATAGTTTATCACAAAATGAGTTGGCTGAACTCAAGGAGTATATTGAAGAAAATCTAGCCAAGAATTTCATACGCCATTCTAAATCTCCGGCAGGAGCTCCAATTCTATTTGTGAAGAAAAAAGATGGATCATTGAAGATGTGTGTTGATTATCAAGGACTCAACAAGATTACCATAAAAAACAGGTATCTACTACCTTTAATATCTGGACTTCTTGATCAACTGAATCAAGCTAAGATCTATACAAAAATAGATCTTCGAAGAGCATATAATCTAGTACGCATCAAAGAAGGAGATGAATGGAAGACTACATTTCGAACTAGGTATGGACATTTTGAATACAACGTCATGCCTTTTGGACTTACAAATGCACCAACAGCTTTTCAACATCTAATGAATGATATTTTTCGAGAGTTTTTGG